GGGGCTGAGGCAAGAAAATTTGTGATTATGGCACCTCTAGATGGCTGTAAATTACACTCTTAGACTTAAAATTTGAAAATTTGAATAATCTCCATTAAAAAAAATTGAACAATTTAGCCTCCTTTTCCCCCGATGGATAAAAATTACCCTTCTATAAGCTAAGCTCGGAAATGATACTCCAACTGTGGCGGGTCCACAAAGTCGAAATAGAGGGGTTCCAGGGAGAGTCTTGCATAAATAGAATGTCCACCCGCCTCAGCCCCACAACTGTTGTTATTATGATTATGGCACCTCTAGATGGCCGGAAATGGCACTCTCAGATTAAAAGCTGGATACATATTTTTTTTACTCCATACAGTTTTACAACCTATAACACATTAACTACAGTGTACTGTAAATTCTGTAGTTAACCTTCAGACAACTTTATTTTAAAAAATGGCCCAATTAAGTATCTTATTGTTTTCGTTAAATTAAGAGTTTAAATGGGGTTATATTACGCTGGTTTGAAGGTTTACTGTAAGCCAATCAGTTACACTTTAAACTATACATCTTCGTAAAATGTTTGTCACTGGTGCTGGGAACAGTCACAAAAGTGGGGGACCAGGGCCCCCCCAGTATAAAAAGTGGGTGGGCCCCCCCGCTTCTGCCGCCGTTGCATGCCACTCAACTGTGGTGTTGGGAATTGTTTCCATACATCAGCTGATGATGTTAGTTTCTTTGGCTTCCCTAAAAATAAAAAGTTGAAGCATCAATGGACTCGATTTGTCCAATTTACAAGAGCTGATTTCCCTAGCCCTAGTGAGTATTCGAAGGGGTTTGTAGCGCACACTTTGACGAAGACAGCTTTCAATCGTCGTGTATCATGAATAGAAAGCTGGGACTTCCGTATGTATTGAAACTGAAGGCTGATGTAGTTCCAACTAAAAAGAAGTGAGAAACCAATAGTAAAACATGGAAAAGGAAGACGACTTTAAAACGCCAGAGAAACAACGTAAGTACAAAATAACATAGGCCTAAATGTATGTTCATTACACGGTTATGCTGACTACTGATTAAGAGAGGTCTGGGCTAGCCCCTGATGGAGCATGGAGGCAAGGATAGAGGCTATAGCCCTAGCTAGATTTTGATGCTCGGCGGAACTCGTAATCTGTTAAAAAT